TTCAACTCCCGGGGGGGTCAACGCCGGAGGAGTACATTATATAGGGGAACAGAAAGTGGCATGAGCCTAAAAAACTCGGAGGTCCGCGCGGATTTCTCGGATCGGCGCTGGGGCCCCGCTGCGGCGCCTCTGGCGCCGCCCCTGGCGCGCTCCGCGCGCCAGGGAGGGGGTCCAGCAGAAATCCGCGCGGACCTCCGAGTTTTTATGTTTATGCCACTTTTGTTCCCCTAGACATGGAATACATATCGCTCTCCTTGCCTGGAGAGCATGTTTGTTGATATCCTCTGGGCCAGTTTGACGCGCGTCATGCCCTGCCCCCCTCCCCCCCCCTCCCCCCTCCCATGACGTAACGTTCTCCCCCTCCCAGCATTGCCGGATGAGGACATCACGGGAACAGAAAGTGACATAAACATAAGCACTCGGAGGTCCGCGCAGATTTCTCGGATCGGCGCTGGGGCCCCCCGGCGGCGCCTCCCGGCGCGGCCCCTGGCGCCCTCCCCGCGCCAGGGAGGGGGGTCCAGCGCCGATCCGAGAAATCCGCGCGGACCTCCGAGTTTTTATGTTTATGTTACCTTTCTGTTCCCCTAGACATGGAATCCATACCGCTACCCTTGCCTTGAGAGCATGTTTGTTCATATCCTCTGGGCCATAAATGCGCGTCATGTCCCCTAGCCTTTCCTGCCCCCCTCCCCCCCCCCTGAAATGACGTAACGTTCCCCTCTCCTGGGACTGCCGGAGGAGGACATTTATATAGGGAACAGAACATGACATAAACCTAAACACTCGGAGGTCCGCGCGGATTTCTCGGATCGGCGCTGGGGCCCCCGGCGGCGCCTCGGCGCGGCCCCTGGCGCGCTCCGCGCGCCAGGGAGGGGGTCCAGCGCCGATCCGAGAAATCCGCGCGGACCTCAGAGTTTTTATGTTTATATCATTGTTTGTTCCCCTAGACATGGAATGCATATCGCTCTCCTTGCCTTGAGAGCATGTTTGTTTATACCCTCTGGGCCATAAATGCGCGTCATGCCCCCTAGCCTCCCCTGCCCCCCCCCCCCTCCCCCCCTCCCATGACGTAACGTTCCCCCCTCAGTGCGCCCCCGGCACTGCCGCAGTGCGTCCGGCCCCACGGTCTGGGGGGGAGGGCGTCACGTTATGCCCCCCCCCGGTCCCCCCCCCCCTTCACCCCTCCCCCCATAACGCCCGTTCTGGCTGCGAATAACACAATGCCCTCCTTGTTTTCTCCCTTCTGGGCCTCTCACAGATCGATCCAGCCCGAGACACGCAGCGTAAAGATCGGGTCTATGGCTCTGGTCGTGATGTCTCGCGAAGCGCCGGTGGCAACGGCGGATCTCAGCGCTGCTCTGCGGGTGCGGGGCCTCTCGGGAGGGAGACGCCCGCCAGGAGTTGTTTGTTGTTCGGTTTCTGGCCAGGCGGCGACGCGGGATACCTTCTCCGACAAAAGCAATGTTCGGTTTTGCAGGGGGTTCTGGCAGTCACGGCCAGCTGGCTTCTGAGAAGCCTCGCCGCAGGTCGTGATCGCCAGATGCGTTAAGTCCGAGCGTGCTGCGTCGAGTGCGGCCCCTTGTGGCCCGTTTGCGGGCCCTGGCAGTAACACAGATGGGTCCAGGGCGACAACGACCCCCAGTGAAGCGGTCGGGCCCTGTCTGGGGCCTCGCATCAAAAAAAACAGTTCGGCGGATGTCAGGGGCGCGCCCGCCCGGGGGCCACCTCGATCCGATCGTGCCGAGTCGGTGTTCTCGATCTCGTCGAGACTGCCGGGCCCGATCCATTCGATCCCGCTGCTCCGACCGCCCGATGCGGCCCGGCGCTTGCTCGTGTGGCGCCGCTGTCGCCTCACGAGTCCCACCTGCTGTCCGCGCAAGCCTGGCATCACTGAGGATCAAAGAGAACCTTTTCACCCCAATAACGCGATGAAGACGACCGAGCCCCCCGTCTTCGCACTCGACATCGCAGCTCCGGGCGGCTTGGTTCGACGCGCCTGCCGACAGAAAACCCTGTCCCGCATGTTCCTGGCCCTCCGAGCTCAGGTCCCCCTGCCAAAGGTTGAAAGGGGGTATTTTTGTTGTCAACACACCTGCAGAAAGAAACCCCTGCCCCTCATGCTCCTGGCCCTCCGAGCTCAGGTCCCCCTGCCAAAGGTTGAAGAGTTTTTTTTGTTGTTTCGATCATGGTAAGCTCGCGCAAAGACGCTCCGTGCCCGGAGCGTGCTCCGCCTGCCGGAAGAAAACCTTGCCCCTCATGCTCCTGGCCCTCCGAGCTCAGGTCCCCCTGCCAAAGGTTGAAGGGTTTTTGTTGTTGTCCACACACCTGCAGAATGAAAACCCTGCCCCTCATGCTCCTGGCCCTCCGAGCTTATCGGGCCGAACGAAAGGGGGGGATAGGGAAAGGGGGGGTTTACGAAATCTGCTGTATGGAGCTGGTTTCGGCCCCGCCGCCGGGCCCATATCTCGATACATGGGCGCCTCCGGCGCCGGGAGGCGCCGTGAAAATCAGCCACGTGAGCTGATTCTCAAACCCCCCCTTTGCTATCCCCCCCCTTTCGCCCGGCCCGAGCTCAGTCAGGTCCCCCTGCCAAAGGTTGAAAGGGTTTTGTGTTGCTGCTTCGATCGTGGCAGGCTCGCGCAGAGACGCTCCGTGCCCGGAGCGCGCTCCGCTGCCCGCGGCTCCCGCTCCCCCTCCTCAAGGCGCGCCTCTCCCGCTCCGGCCGTGCCCCTCGCTCGGCACCCCCCGCAGGTGCCTCCCCGCGCCCCCCCGCCCCCCCCTCCGCGCCTTCTTGGCCCCGAAGGCGCCGCGGCAGGACCAGCAAAAACTGCGGTGCTCTCAGGAGGGACAAGAACACACAGACACAATGAATCGTCGACTCCCAGGAAAATATGGGAGAATATGGAGATTGGGGGGGAAGACAACAAAAACAGGAATCATGGGAAAATATGGGGGATCCTGTTATTTGTGTGTATTCATTTGTGTGTCCCAGGGCCCCTTCATGCTCCCTCTACAGGAGGAATCTTCGAACATACTTTTGAAGTAGTCTGGGGACGCTGCTCCTACCATGGTTTTGGCTCTCCTGGGATCTTTCTGACTCCTTCTCTAATTGTTCTCCCAAGATCCGCCTGTAGGGGGGCATGCCCGACCTAAGCGTGGTGGCGTTGTTTAACGGGCGAAGAACGGTATAACATAAACTTTTTCGCCGTCGGGGACACCTGCCCCTGGGCGGCTGGAAAGTTTATACCCTTACGGTGGCGCCGTAGGGGTATAAACTTTCCAGCCGCCCAGGGGCAGCTTTCCCCGACGGCGAACAAGTTTATCTTATACCGTTCTTCGCCCGTGAAGTTGTGCATCCTGCCCCGATCTGGCACACGTTCCGCTTCGACCCGGCTCCTTCCAATTGTTCTTCCAAGATCCGCCTGTAGGGGGGCATGCCCGGCCTAAGCGTGGTGGCGTTGTGCATCCTGCCCCAGTCTGGCACCCGCTCCGCTCTTCGACCCGGCCCCACGGCCCGCCGCCGGTGGCCCCCTTGGCCGCCGAGATCCGGGCGTCGTTTTCTCTTTTTCTGTTTGAGTCGGACCGGGCCCTGGCGGTCGGTGGACGCGCGCGCGCATCCTTCGATACACTCGGGAGCGGAAAAGAGGGGGGTGATGACTAGGGGGGGGTGGATTTCATGGCGCGGGCCATGATTTTTCCTCAGATTTCATGGCGCCTCTTCTTATTTCATTACGTCCCTGGCCCCCCCACTGGGCCGCGCACATGCCGCCGGTCATGATTTGCACCCCCCCCTCTTGGACACCCCCCTCTTGGCCGCTCCCGATACACTGCTGGCGCTGACGCCATGCGACCATGCCCGGCAAGTATACGAACAAGCACGGAAGGATCGCAGACATTCGCGGCCAGGCCTTGAGACCCTGAGCGTGGTGGCGTTGTGCATCCTGCCCCGATCTGGCACACGTTCCGCTTCGACCCGGCCCCACGGCCCGCCTTTTTTTGTTTGATTCGGACGGGCCCCCGTAAAACAGGGCTAGGATCGGGATAAATCGCACCAGAGCGTTCCGGAGCGCTCTCAGAGCGTTCCGGAACGCTCTGGAGCGGCCGCGGCGCCCAATACATCCTCCAAACCCGCCGATTCTCAGAGATTTCGAGTTCTCCCGATCCGATTTTGTCCCGATCTTCGCGTCGTTTTACCCCGGCTGTCGGTGGACGCGCGCGCGCATCCTTTGATACTCCAGATTTCGTAATAAAGGGAGGAGGGTCTCATTTCGGGGGGGGGTCTCTTCCAGGCTATTTGGGAGGGCCTAGCGGGTCTGGGGACGATGTTTTGGAGGGTTCTCCCACGGGGGAGGTCTGAAATGGCTTGTCTTGGAGGGTCCAGACCCCCTCCCTTTTATTACGAAATCTGGAGTACACGGCCGGCGCTGACGCCATGCGACCATGCCCAGCAAAGATCCGACAGCGCGAACAGACACGGAAGGATCGTGGACAATCACGGCCCGACCTTGAGACCCCCAGTTTTTTTTCTTTCTGCGCCACTGTTCGAGCCAGCTCGCTCTGCGGGTGTCCTATTAGGGCCCGAAGCCGGGCGACAACGCCCAGCTCGAAACAGAATCGAGACGCCAGCATCTCTGAAGGCTAGCTGGCGCCCCTCCCGCCAGAATGGAGGATGACGATTAATAAATGACCGGGGGTCGTGTTCACGCGGCGGCGCCCGGGATGACGATTAGAAAAAAACGGCAGCGGGCTGGAACACTTTTTTTATCGTTCTCCCCCTGTCAGAACATTGTGCAGAACTAGCAGAAAACTATGTTTTTGATCGTTCTCTCCCGTTTTTTTTTATAAGCTCCCTCCCGCCACAGGTCCGGTGCGCGATGGTGACCGGGGACGCGGCGACCACGGCCAGCCACGCCGCGAGGGAGGTGGGCCTGCTGGGCCCCGGCGGCCCGCTGCTGCGGCTGGAGGCAGGCAGGTGGCGGCCGCGCGGCGGGGGCTCCCAGGACCCTGGCAGCCTCGCGTCGCGAAGGCAGCACTGCGGGAGGTGTTTCCTGTGCAGCGCCGGTTTTAATGCATGCTCCGCGTGCGGATCATGTATGAAAAATACAGGGTGGATTAATAAATGCAAGGATGAGTTTATGCAGTAATTTATTCATAAATCAATCATGGATTGAAATTCCCGACAGACTTCAGGAGGAGAAAAGCACACAGACACAATGAATCGTCGATCCCCCAGAACATATGGGAAAGCATGGGCAGTGGGGGGGAAGACGACAACCCAAGAAATACGAGAAAATAAAGGGGATATCTTTATCTGTGTGCATTTGTTTGTGTGCCCTGGGGCCCCTTCCATCCTCGCGTCGCGCGGAGGCATCGCTGCGGGAGGTGTGTCCCGTGGGCCTCCCAGAGGGGTTCCGAGCGGGCGGAGTCGGAGGAGCGCGCCGCATCGCCGCGGTGCGTTGCCGATGCGGCGCGACGTGGAGGTCATATATCCCCTCCTCCTCCTCTTTCCCCCTCTCCTCCTCCTCCTCCTCTCTCCTCCTCGTTCCCCCTCCCCCTCCTCCTCCCTGCTCCTCCTCTTTCCTCCTGTATCCTCCTCCTCCTCCTCATATCTCCTCCTCCTCCTCCTCCTCTCTCCTCTCTCCTCCCCGCCCGATCTCTGCCGATGCACTGCTGGCGTCGCCGATGCATCGCCGACGTCGCCAGGCGCCAGGTCCCTGGCATCCTCGCGTCGCGAGAGCATCGCTCTGCGGGCACAACAAAGAACCACGACCAGAGCTCGGTGGAGTTTCCTTGAGGGCCCCTCGGGGGAGAACCCACCGATCTCGACATGAGCGCTTTGGCTTTGGTTGTGGTCGTGGTCGATTCGGTCGTCCGGGACTCCCCCACATCCTCGCGCCGCGAAAACATCACTGCGGATCATCACTGCGGATTGCAGCCGGCTGGGGGTTTGAGGTGGCCCAGCGTTGGCTCTTGCGAGCAGGAAGAGGGGGCAGTCCAGAGGTTCGAGGTTCGTCAAAGTTTCAAACGTTTCTCAGCCTCCGGGTCTGTTTTCCGAGACTGTCAAAAAAAGAAGATCCGGATTCGCCAGGGGTCCAGGAACCGATTTTGATTGGATTTGCCCTCATCCTTTCGTCTTGACCGATTTACTCGAGGTCCATCCAGGTCAGATTCCCCCGGCCGCCTCCAGACTGCGGGAGTGAGTTTTTTCCCCGCCCGACAACCCTCGGATCTTGGCTGGCGTAGCGGGTTTCCGCTGACGGGCAATTTCTGTCGCGCTCTTGCGGGCCCCAGGGCCCTCAAGAATCGATCTGGCCAGGAAGATGCAGTAGAAAGATGGGGTACGGGGCCCTGGTCATGACTTTTCACGATGTCGCACTTCTTTTGAGCCGCCAGGTATCATTCAGGAGGGAAAGAAACACACAGACACAGTTACTCCCAGGAAAATGTATGAAAACATTGGAAGTGGGGGGGGAAGACGAAAACCCAGAAAATATGCGAAAATATTGTGAATCCTGTTATTTGTGTCGACTTATTTGTGCGTCCCCGGGCCCCTTTAACCATGGGAGTTAGGGGTTTCCGAACATCCGCCTCGCGTGCCCTGCACACGCAGCGGCCGCCGGGCCCTCGGAGCTCGGTGTGCTCCCTGGGGACCCCGCCGATCGTGTCTTCGACGAGCGACAGGTGATCGTTTGTTCCCAATCAGTGCTTGCACTGGAGGGGTCCTGAAGCGGAGGTTGAAAGATTTGGCGAAAGTTTCCCGCCGATGTTGGTGGCAGGCTGGGTTCCCTGTTCCGGGTTCCCGGGTTCCGGGTTGTCGGTTCCGGGCCGATTTCGGTGGGTTCTGGGCTCCCGGGCTCCTGGGTTCCCAGCAGTCGATCTCCTCAGCGAGAACCATCCACTGATTGGGGTTGCTTTTCTCTGGTGCAATTTTTATGCGGTGTTTTGCCGATCGCCGGGGGCCCTTGTACTCCCCCCCCCCCCCCATGGAGTAGATCTTGGCTGTCTTTCTGGCGTCTGTTTCGAGCAGGCGGAGCCTCCCCCACAGGACGCACGGGTCCAAGCAGTCGCACTGAGCAGAGGTCCGGAGCCAGATCCCCCCCCCCTTCCGCCCAGTGTCGAAGCGACGAAGGAGAAAACACTCACCAGTTGACTCCGCGGCCGCCAGGCTGAAAGTCTGCCGGTGTGCTCCCTGGGGATCCCGCCTCGCGCTTTTTGGTGGGGACGCTCAGGAGATGTTGTCCGTTGAGGAATGTGCCCAGGAGGCTTCAGACTCGATGGCGTGCCTTATCTAATGGAGGCGGTAGCGACATCCATATTGCCAATTCACGCTTGGCCTCCCACTGGCTTCCAGACCCTGGATTCCTTATGCAGTGGTCCCTTGCCCAGCGCCCTCAGCGCACTCTTCCCCAAACCGTGCTTGCACTTACAGTCGGGGCGCTGAAGAAGGAACCCTTTTCGTTGGGGAGGGGCTCCGCGTTCCTTGACTGTTGCACAGCTTGCCCTAGGTTTTCCTCAGGCTTTCGATACGAAACCGAAGGTTGACTTATGGAGAATAGGGGCCTCGTTCCTTATTTGGGGTTCCTTAGGTCAACGCCCCGACTGTAGGGCTGCTCACCTCTCTCACAGGGAACTGGGCCTGGCTGCCGCTGCCGCCGCCTGGTGGCCGCCCGTCGACGCCGCGTCGCCGCCCGCCGCCTGGGCCCCGCTGCCGCCTCCGCGGGCCTGCGGCCGCCGCCGCCGCCCATCGCCACGTAGACTGCACCACGACGTTCGATTGCACCACGCAGATGGCACCACTTACAGCTGGGGCGCTGAAGAAGGAACCCTTGCCGCTGGGGAGGGGCTCGGTGTTCCTTGATCGTTTTGCAGTTTTTGCCTCGGGGTTTCCTAAGGTTCCCATGTGCAACCGAAGCTTAAGTTCTGGGACTGAGGGGCCTCGTTCCTTATTTACGGTTCCTTAGGTCAACGCCCCGACTGTATATTGAACCACGTAGATTCTTTCTAACAAGTCAATAGACTCTACCCCCCCCCGGCGTTATCGGTCCCCCTTTCGGGTATGTAAGTCATATATGATTCTGACCACATGTCCGTCCTCGATATGAGGTTACACTATCCCAGGGGGGCCGGTATCCCCCCCCTGAGGTTCCCTGGTGAAAAACACTATGCGGTGACATTTTTTGCTCTAGCATAACACTTTTTTAACGACGAATCCCTTGCAACAAATGAGACGAAGTGCACACGCGCGCGTCGTCTCGCGCGCATGCCGACATCCTTCAAAAACCTTCGGTTCTGGAGAGATTTCAATATTGAATTTCCCAAGAACAAACAAAAACACAGGGTTTCGCAACACTGATTTGCTAAAAAACGCTTACGCGCGAGCTCTTGCGAAATCTTAAGAAAACCATAGGGTTTTCAAGATTTTCACAGAATGCTACCAAACCGGCTTCGCGCGCGCATGTCGAAATCTGTCGAACGCCCTTGCGCGTGTGCCGTCGCGAGAACCCTCTGCAAAAAATGGAACGAAGTGCAGGCGCACGCGAAGTCCCGCGCGTATGCCGAAATCCTTCAAAAACCTTCGGTTTCGGAAGGATTCCAAAATCGTGTGTCCAAAAAACATACAAAAACACAAAGTTTCGCAACACGGGTTTTCAACGAAAGCGTGCGCGCGCGCTCTTGCGTCGTCGTCGTCGTCGTCCTCCCTCCTCCCTCGTCGTCGTCGTCGTCGTCGTCGCCGTCGTCGTCTTCTGTCTTTCCTCGTCGTCGTCGTCGTTTTGGCGTCGTCGTCGCTTCCGTCGTCGTTGTCGCCGTGGTCGTCCTTCCTCCCTCGTCGTCTTCGTCGGCGTCTCGTCGTTGTCCCTCCTATTTCGTCGCCGTCGTCGTCGTCGTCGTCGTCGTCGTGGTCTTCACTCCTCCCTCGTCGTTATCCTCCTCCCTCGTCGTCGTCGTCGTCCGTCGTCGGCGTCTCGTCGTCGTCCCTCCCATTTCGTCGCCGTCGTCGTCGTCTTCGTCGTCTCGTCGTCGTCTTCCCTCCTCCCTCGTCGTTGTCGTCGTCGGCGTCGCCGTCCTTCCTTCTTCTTCGTCGTTCGCGTCGTCGCCGTCTTCCCTCCTCCATCGTCCTTGTCGTCGTTGTCGCCGTCGTCTCTTTTTTCTCCTCCCTCGTCGTCGTCTCCGTTGGCGACGTCGTCGTCGTCTTCGTCGTCGGCGTCGGCGTCGGCGTCGTCTTCGTCTTCGTCGACGTCGACGTCGGCGGTGTCGTCGTAGTCGGTGTCTGCGGCGCCGTCGTCGTCGTTGTCCCTGTCGTCGTCGGCGTCGGTGTCGTGGCCAAGTGCCATGTGGTACCTACCGTCACGGTCTTGTCTTAAGAAGTCTTGCGACCAAGTTGCGGGTGGGAGGGTGGGATGTTTGCACGAGCAGTAGAGAGGACAGCTTCAAGACGGTCAAAGTGGATTGCACCACATAGGTATCACCGCGGGTATTGCTCCACGTACGCTGCACCACGCACATTGCACCGCATACATTGCGCCACGCACGTTGCACCACATAGATTGCACCACACAGATTACACCACGCACGTTGCACCACATAGATTACACCACGCACATTGTGCGGGGTCCACGCTGGCTTTCATTTCGATATGATATACGCTTTCGCCTGTACGCATGCATGCGACATGTGTGTGTGTGTGTGCTTAAGAACACCCCCACCCCAGAGAGGAAATGACAGGGCGGCTCCCGTGGGCCTCCGCCAAAGCGGGGCCTCGGGGCCGCCGCACCCAAGAGGCCTCGCAGGTCGAGCCCGCCACCTGGGGCGAGGACCCCCGACGTCATTCTTTTTTTCCCGGAAAGGGCGTGGGCCCAGGGTTCTCTTTTACTAGGTAAACCTGTCCCCCGGTGCCAACTTGAAGGAGGCCGGCGAATTGCCGGCGAATTTTTTCCCTGATAAATAACGAGGTTGAAGGAGGCCGGCGAATTGCCGGCGAATTAAAATTTGAGGATGTCTC